GTAAGACCTGCTGCTGAGCATTCTCTAGCAGGAGCCAGGTTTCTTAAAATCCATTTATGACGCAGCCATCAGTATCCTGGTTTGTCTTAGGGATACTTAGGAAGACAAATTCTATAAAAGTTGTTCAGCTTCTTTGGCTAAATAAAGGTACCACTTAAATTCAGGAGTCTTTTAAAACATTCCAGCAACCGCTATAGTCTTTTATTATCTATCTTATATATTCCTTTATCATAAAAACTGCCTTGTTATTATATTTATAACAAGAAATAAAGAGGCAGGGAGGAGGTTGGGTAAATCTACTATTGAAAAACCTCAATTAATAAATAAGTGAGCAATTTTTACTGTATACATTTAAACATTTTTGATGCATGCAATAATTTATTTGGGACTGAGCCTCATTATTACATATTATAAAACTCAGGCAACACAAATAACCCGGAACGTTAATAAATGCATTTGTTTTACACATTCTAGAAGTCAACAAGTCAGAATATTGTGAGGTCTGACTTGACAATTTAAGAACAGGATATAACCCCTGTTGTAAAAGAGCTGATAATATAACTTGTGGAAAAAAAAAATAAACATGGGAAACATTAAATAATAATAAAAACATAAGTAATAGCTCTTTTCTGCACAAGCCATGTTACAAAGCAGAGCAAGACTGATTGTGAATGAAGTAGAGGCACGAAGAGGAAGAGAAGTTAACAGTAATGAAAAACCAGGGAAACCTCAGGATTGCCAAGACCATCAGAGGAGTCCGGTGTATTATGCATTGGGGTCTGGAAGGATCCAAGGTGGGGAAAGACACTGACTAAAAGCTAGGGTTTAAACATAAGCAAAAAAATGCGCTGGGTGTGGTAGCATAATGGCTGAAATCCTCGCCTCGCACACAACAAGATTCCATATGAATACTGGTTCGTGCCTCAGACGTTGCACTGCCCATCCAGCTCCCTACATGTGGCCTGGAAAAGCAGTAGAGGATGGCCCAAGGCCTTGGAACTCTGCACCCATGTGGGAAACCCAGAAGTTCCAGGTTCCTGGCATGAGATCAGCTCAGCTCCGGCCACAGTGGCTACTTGGGGACAAATTTTCCTCTCTGTCTCTCCTCCTCTCTGTATATCTGACTTCCCAATAGAAATAAATAAATTAAATTTAAAAATAGTACGAAATCAAATAAAACTAAAACAATGATCTTCCCTTAGATCCAAACGCGGCAGGAGAAGCTGGCATATAAAGTATCAGCTTGTCATAAGGTAATAAACTATGTGTTTAGTGTTCGATAAGCCATTTTTCATTTCTTCTTAGTCTTAAATTGAGTTGTGAATACTCATTGGCCAAGAAACAACATGAAGATAAACAAGAAGATAAAGAATCAAAAGAACACAAGTTTAGTTTATCAGTTAAGACAACTGTGTCATAATAATTGGTTTCAAATCCCAGCTCTTGCTGTTTTCTCCGTTTTCCTACTGCAGGATACCCTCAATGGGAAGCAGTGGTGATGGCTCAAGTAACTGAATTTCTAGTATTTACGTGAGAGACCTGAACCGCATTCCCAGTTCCCAGCCTTGCTCTAGGACCAGACCCAGATGTCTCAGGCACTTGAGGGGGTAGACAGTGAATGGGACTGCCTGCTCTTCCAAGAGCTCTCCACTTTCTTTCGCTCATGCTCTTACTTTCAACTCACTTTCTAAGTCTCTACTGTTTTCTCAAATAAGCAATTAAAAAAAGAATCAAGCAAAATAACACCCTCCCCATCATTACCACCCTCAGAACAAAGGAAGGTGTTTTAAATATGTAAACAAAAATAAAATTAATTCATTCCATCATCACTTTTTGATAACGAAATCCTTAAATCACGATAATATTCCGATGGTGACAACAATATCCACAGGAAGAAAGGGAACCCTGTGCTGTACAAACCTGTTATGCATACCTTATCTAATTTAATTTTCAACACCACCACCCTAAGAAGCATTTTTTAATTTTCTTATTTATTTATTTAATTTATATGAAATACAGAGAAAGAGAGAGAGGAAGGGAGAGAAAGAGAGGTAGAGAGACATAGGGACTTCCCATCTGCTGGCTCACATCCCAAATATTTCCCACAGCAGGGCTGGGTCCAGGCTGAAGTCAAGACTAAAGCAGTTAAACTGTCATTTGTTGTCTCACTGAGGGTGAGCGTAAGCAGGAAGACGGAACCAGGAGCAGAGCTGAGAGGAACCCAGGCACTCTGATATGTAAGACACGGCTGTGCCAAGTGGTGTCCTAACTCACATGACGACCACCATCCTTGTGATGGATCTTATCATTCCTGTTGCAATCCCTGTATCACACACACACACACACACACACACACACACACACACACACACACACACTGGGTTAAATAGTAAGACAGTAGTTACTATAGGCGCAAAGATGGACCACAAGCTGACCTAGACCTATACCTCAAACTTTTCTACTCATTCCACCCTGAATCATCTACGACTAGAACAAGACCCCTAACACTTTATGTCAACTTCACACATTATAGCTTCAGAAATCTAAGAATGTGAGTGGTATAGAAAGAAGAATAGCTTGAACTGAGTTTTACTCCACTTCATTCATCACAAATTTACTGAGCAACAAGACTGCTCTAGATGTATGAATGAAGGAGATAGAGTGACCGTCAAGAGAGGTTTTCCTAAGGAGATGTATGCTATACATAAAAAAATCCCCAAAAATGCGAAGGAAACAGTAAAATCATATGCGGTAGTCAAGGCAGTGAAACAGAGAAAAGGGGCTGACATCAAGAGGGTTGACAGAAGGACCAACACCATGGCATAGCTTCTGGCTCTGGTACTGCCTCCCATATGGGCACCAGTCTGTGCACTGGTTGCTCTATTTCCAAGCCAGCTCCATTCCTATGGTCTGCAAAAGCAGCAGAGAATGGCTCAAGTCCTTGGGTCCCTGCACACACACAGGAGACCCAGAAAAAGACTCATGACTCTTGGTTTTAGATTAGCTCAGTAGAGTCTCAAGTAGGCAAAAAAAAAAAAAAAAATAACAACTAAAACAGTCTAATGAAAGAAAACTCGCTGCACATTTAATTAAAACTGGTCATTAAATATGTCTTTAAAAAAAGGTGGCTTTTCAAGGGGGCAGTGACCACCACCATTCTCATGCCAAGCCTGCCTGGTGTAGGGGAGGGTAGAACTGAATCCCGGGGTCCTGAGGATGTGACCTTGTGTTGAGGTGGAGAAGAGAGTCTAGGGAGCATAACATTGATGGAGCATGTGGGGAACTGCAAGCTGGGATCTAGGAAGGCATAGAAAACTGGAGATTTCCTCGTATGCTTAGTCCTGGGCGACATGAGGAGAAAGGAGAGGAAAGCCCCAGGCCGGCATGCTGGCCTGATGTGCTGCTGGACCAGCAAAGGAGAACCTCAATGGGCCTGGATCTTGGGTGTGTGAGTGTATGTGGGCAGGAGGAGGGTGGTTAAGGGACCAGGACAGCACATGGGCCAGTAGCTTGGGAATCTGATGGGCTAGTGGAGCTGTGGCTCAACACACCATCCAATGGGCTCCTGAAGGTTGGGCTGGAGAATCAATGTGCTCCTGGGCACACAGGTTGTGGATTGATTAGGGAAAGGAAAAAGAGAATATAGAGGAAGAGTGTTGTCTCACGCTGTGACAGTATGTTGTAGGTGAGGCATGTCTCCTGAAGGACTTCCAATGACAAGGTTACTATTCTTGCAGATAAGCATGGGGACTGAAACCTGGTGGTTTGGAGGGTAGAGGCCAGAAGACCTTTATGGGTCAGGTCAATGCACCAGTCCACGTGGGAGAACTGAACTGGGCTAGATAGCATAAAACACTGATGACCACCACACACGACCCCTAACAAAAGCTAGGTCTAGGGGCCTGTCTTGCAGGACTAGATCACAGAACCTACCAGTGAGTGTTGGAATAGGGGACAGGTAATATAAAACCAGGCCATGACACTAACCAGCATTTGAGAGAAACAGGTCTGAGGCCAGATTCCATGGGGGATATGTGGGCCTAGCCCTGAGGAACTGCAATTCCTGCTAGTTAGCTTAGAGTTGTCAGGGGGAAGGGAGAGAAAGCAGCACAGTAGCCTAGCAACTGAAGTCCTTGCCTTCCCTGTGCTGAGATCCCATATGAGCACCAGTTCTAATACTTGCTTGTGGTCTTGGAAAGCAATGAAGGACGGCACAAAGCCTTGGGACCTTATACTCACATGGGAGACCCAGAAGAGGTTCCAGGCTCAAGGATTTGGATCAGTACAACTCTGGCCACTGTGGCCACTTATGAGTGAATCAACGAACAGAAAATTGTCCTCTCTGTCTCTTCTCCTCTCTCTATATATGACTTTCCAATAAAAATAAAATAAATCTTTAAAAAAAAAAAGTTGGTGGTGGAGATGGGCTGAGTTAGGCATGACCATGGAACCCCCCAACACTCACGGGTACTGGACATGGGAACAGGCTGTGCAGGCCCAAGCTGCAGCATGCACATGTGCACCTAAAAACAGACTGTGGAGCATGCCAGGTCACATCATCCATCAACTCATACAAAGGCCATGACGGAGAGGGCAGGCTATGCCAGGGAAGGGCTAGCACCCACTAGCAAGCGTGAAATCTGGGTCTGTGAGTGGGCCTGGTGGGAGAAGCTTGGGAAAATTCCTCTGGTGGGCACAGCTCCTCCTGGTGTTGGTGAGGCCTGGCAAGGTATCTTCACCGATCAGCTAGAATGTGGGCTGGTTTTAGAAGGGGACAGACTGGGCAGAGCCGAGCAAACCTTAGTCCACTGGCATATGCAGGAGCCAGGCTAGAATGCAGGTCACACCAGACTAGACTATCACACCCACTGATTTGCATGAGCCAGGGATGGGAGCAGACTGAACAGGGCTAGATGTAGTACCCACCAGTAAGAGTTTGAACTGGGGGCTGGCCAGGCCAGACCAGGCTGCAGCATCAGAAGGCAAAGGCCAAGACAGGTGTGCTCGTTTCAGCAGCACATATACCAAAATTGGAACGATACAGAGAAGATTAGCATGGCCCCTGCACAAGGAAAGGCCAGGGCAGGTAAGAGGTTATGCCAAGCTAGATCACAGCAATCACTGGCACATGCAAGATCTATAGCTGGGAACAGGCCTGGTTGGGAAACTAAGCGGATGCCTTGGCTGGGTTGTGGTTCCCACTGGTGAGTGCAAGGGCTGGAATTGGAGCTGCAATATGTTCTGGACATGACTACAGTGTTCCTCAGCACAAGTGTGAACTGGGTTTGGGTTGTGCCAGACTAGGCAACACTCCAGCACCAACTGGTGCTCATGAGAGCCAAGGTGGGTATAAGATTGGCTAAGTTCGGTCTCTGCCCCTGCTAAGTCACACATACAGGTTTTCCTGGGCTGTAGCACACAACAGTAAGAATAGGAATGGCTATAAGCCAGTCAAGAAAAGGCCACTGCTCCTGCTAGTACAGGACGTGGCCTAAGTAGGGCTGGGTGTACATGAGATCTTGCACTGCAAGGGGTTCTGATGGAGGAGCTTGAGCAACTCTGTTGCGATGCAGTCCCTGCAGGTGAGCCTAAGAACTAAGGCAAGGAGCACCTTGGTCTTGAGCAGCTCAAACCAGGCCAGGTTACAGTACTCACCAGCATACACATGGCTCAGGTAGACCATATGGTAGACCAGGCCAGGCAGTGACACAATGCTTGTTGGCCTGCACGTGAGCTGGGTTGGAGGAAAGCCAATTGGGCTGATTGTACACAGTGGTGCATGCATGAGCCAGAGTGGGTGAGTTGGTTGGGTTTTGCCTCAGCATCAGCTGGGAGATGCCAGCACTGGAAGCAAATTCTGTCAAGCTGAACTGCAGAACCACCTGGAGAGAGCAAGTTCTGGGAGTAGGAGTGGGCCCATTAGGGAAAATGTGGCACCCCTCTATATCAGCCAGTGGATCCTAGAGGGATTTCATCAAACTCGGAGCGGTAATATTGACAGCAATTCAGAACTATTGAACTATCAAAACTAATTGAGTGGGATCTCAGAGCATGCCACACATCGAGGACCCTGGGAAGACATCGGGTGGCTGTTCCACATCCCAAGGTATGGAGGTGGTTGGGAGGCTGGGTCAGGTTTCTCCCCGCAACTTCCCCTTCCCCAAATGCAGGAAGACAAAAGGAGAATGTGGAAGCAATGATCTCACCCACATTCCTCTAGCCCTTGACCCTTTCCACCCTAATCAACTATGTAAACATCATCAAAAAAATTTTTTAAAGGTGGTTTCTACTGTTACATAAATATTACATATCTCTTCTATGTAGTCCTTACATATGCATATTCCCAGTGAAGTATGGTATAGTCCTTTGTTATCTACAGGGCATGTGTTGCAAGACTGTAACCAAAAGTCTGAACAGCACATAACACCAACCAAATATATATTTCTTCCTATACATACATGCATATGAACAGCTTTAATTTTAAAAGTAGGTACAGTAAGAGACTAACCAAAGTAAGATTAAAATGGAACAATTACACTATTATAAACTATACTGCTTAAAAATTAGTCGCTATGTATCTGTGGAATTTTAATAATCTTTAGTCTACAACTGACCATAGGTAAAGGAAGCAAAGTCATGGAACAGGGAAAATTTATCTATCTATCTATCTATATATATATATATATTTAAATACATGTAATTTATTTATATGTTATTATCACATATAAAATAAGTACACAGTCCTGGATGGGATAAATTCATCTGTTTTCTGTTTCATTAGTATTCCATAGTTTCCCTGCCATACTAGCTATCACTCTGGATTTCAAGTTCTTCTAGGACAATCTCTGCATCTTTCCAATTCCCTATTCTTCCCTACTACTTACAAAAATATTTCCAGGTAAGTGCATAAATAAATGTCAATAATGACTTTCTTCTTTCAAGGACACAGAGTTAAACATGATATTAACTATTCCCACGTAAAAGTGAGTTTAGAAACATCCATAACCCATATTACTTGAACATCCAACAGAATTCTAAAAAGGGTCCTTTGATGTCAGTTTTTATTGAGCACATTATTTTTTCACTTGGGGTCCCTAATACTACCTCAGGAACTGTTCCCTTATTCATCATGGTAATATATATCATCCACAGCAGACACAATCTAAACGAAAGAAATTTGTGGGGGAAAGCAGATGTCAAGCTGGTAAAAGAGCAGAGAAATCCAGTATGACAATAACAGTTTCTGCAATCTTCAGGCTTTCATGAGTATTGGCCCTAAAGAAGAAAGTCCATCAACATGTAAAGAGCCTCTGATTTGTTGAGCGTGCTGGGAACACTTCATCTGCTCTTTTATCTCCATAAACTATTATAATTAGCACATGCAATATTTACAATTCATCTCATGATTAATCTATCAAACAAGACTCTTCCCTAACAGTAGTATATCATTTTGTACTGGAAGACTCTATTCTCTTTAGTTCATTCTCATGCCTGTCATATTTCTCTGGAGTTCATCATAAACACTATAATGTGGAAGACTGGAGATCCAAGTAGTGGATGTCAACTCCAACAACCTACTGAGTGTTGTCTAGTTCTATACACATTTCAGGAAATACTTACTAGTCAAGCAGGAATATTGACACTCAGACAGTTACAGAAAGCTCGACTGAGGTACATGCCTGAAGAACAAATGTTAGGTGATAGCCTTCTGGACACCATCGTGGTTTAAGTTTGAATATTGTGACAGTTATAATTACAAGCATCATAACAATGATCAAGCGATGATAACATCTTCTTTTTGGCATGTCAATAAGTTATTCCTGACAAGCACGGAGAGAAAAGTACTTTGCGTACAAATAACATGTAAGCTAACAAGAAAAAAAATTCGACAATTTGCCATTTTCACTGAGTCATTTCTACCATTAAAACGATGAAGCAGAAAATAAAATGTTCCCTAAAAATGCAGTCTTTCCATAAGGTGTTAAGAAAATCTAAAATTTTCCGTTGCTTGGGAGTATTTGTTTAAATTTGCTTTCTGAAATGCTTTATTGAGTTGTTTTACCATTTGATTTGTGACATTTTTTGCTATATTTCTCATAGAAATTATTCCTGTGTTTTGATTCCTTCTGTGTTTGTTTTGGCAAGTCCAAGACAGTTCTTTGAAATCCTCATTGAATTTGGTGCTCAATATGCCATTTGAAGAAATACCTCTCCACAAATAATCTAGTAACCCAGTGATTTGTTATTTTAACATAAGTTCATTTACACAGATATCACTGGATAATTAATTACAAAACAAAATCCAGAAAAGTGTACTGCATACTCTAGGCATTTTAGAAGTGCTGGAGAGAATGAATTGTTCACTAACACAGGACATCTGCGGCAGAAACGGGGCTCCACAATGTGAGCCAAGGACTGTGTCCCATTCCTTTACACTCTTGAAGAAAAGAGTTTGTAAAAACATTAATTTGCCAAACCCTGTGTGTGAAAGTCGTAATTTTCTTTCTTTTTTCCCCAAGAGTTATTATTTTTATTGGAATGGCAGATACACAGAGAGAAGGAGAGTCGGAGAGGAAGATCTTGCATCCGATGATTCACTCCCCAAGTGGCTACAATGCCCGGAGCTGCCCTGATCCAAAGCCAGGAGCCTGGAGCTTCTTCTGCGTCTCCCAAGGTCCCCAAGGCTTTGGGCCATCCTCAACTGCTTTCCCATGCAATAAGCAGGAAGCTGCATGGGAAGTGGGGTAGCCAGGATTAGAACTGGCACCCATATGGGATCCCAGCAGGTTCAAGGTAAGGACTTAAGCTGCTAGGCTATCGCGCCGGGCTCAAAAATCCTAATTTTCATTGCACAGATGATATCACAGAAGGGAACAACATGAAGACCAATTTTTAAAAGATCATACAGAGACAAATAAAATTTTCAAAAATGCTCTCTATGGCTACCTGATTTTCACAAATAGAAATATTTTGCTATGAAACATGCCTCCCTTGTTCACAATTTAGATAGTGGTCCTCTTTTAAAAAAATAATGTTTAACTTATTGTACATATAAGTGCTGAGGGTAGTAAAATGCAAATGCAAAATGCTCTATATACAGTCCTGCTAAAATTTTCTAAAATGAAATATTTGGGTCATTTTTTCAATAAAACCTCTATTGCAGGGTAACTTCCAGAGGTGAAACTGTTTCAGTCTCATCTATCATAACACGCTAAAAATAGGACCATCGTACACCAAAATAAGAAGAATTAAAAATTTCCTAGAACACATTTCTCTCGTAGGTGACTGAGGTGAACAAAATGAGATCATCTGCTCCTGGTGGGCCAGTTAGAAAGAAAACTGAAAGCAGTACAGCATCAGAACAGGAACTGAAGTTACAGTCAATCCTGGTGAGGCCAGCCTCACGATTCCAACTGTAGAAGCAACTGCCAGTATGAATCCAAAAGACAACAGTCTCCATCCAAATGCAGAAAAAACTTTACTCAAGAAAAAAACCCACTTTGACCATGTTTCAGCACTTCCTATGTATCATGCAGAGAAGAGCACCTGCTCATGGGCATGCACAGGCCCAAGAGTCTCACTACAGGCATCTATCTGATCCCAGTGGTGTCTGAATTTTTAACAAACTATATCAAGGGTCACGTGTCATAGGTCACAAAGAGCCACCAAAACCCTACCTTTGCTTGGCAAGACATGAACACAATAGGCCAAAGCTAAGCAGCTTCCCTTCCCTGCTCCTTTTCCTTGGAAGTTTACATACCGGCCTGGAATTGGCAGGAAGTGCAGAGAACACCATGACAGAGGTGGGAAAGGAATCTGCAACTTGACCCAGGAAAACCAGGAAAGGCTTTCAAGAGAAGACACTTGAAACGGGCACTGACGAACAGAAGTGCATTACTTGTAGTGAAGGCAAAAAACAGAAAGGCAGGAGATTGTCAGCTGATATTCACACTGCAGGAGGAAAGTGTCAAAATACGTGCAAGCTATCAATTTTAAAATATTTAACACATGTATGTATGTACAGTATATATTACATACATATAATATGCAAGTGTCTTTCTAGTTGATAAGGGATTAAGAACATAAACTAGACTTAATATCCTGCTCT